TTATTTTGTCAAGAGGAAGGGAAGCACAGGTACTTCTACTTGAAGGAGGGAATTCTCCACTTTTTTTTGAAGACTATATAACTTGTAGAATGCTGCATTTAACATACTGCCTCCCCAAGTGCAAAGAGTCTTGAAAACTTACAAAAACTGAAGAATTTTTAAAAAAATTATCTAAAAAACCCTTTGATCTTAGGTGTACTGTGAACAGAATCCTGATAGCTTCCCATGAGTGAATGTAAGGAAACAACGCTGAGTTGAGGAGTGGAGAAAATGGGGAGGGACCCATCTTTCAGCTTTTCCGTTTCTTTCCCTGCACTGGAAGCATCCACAGGAATCCAGTTACTTTGCATAGTAATCCTTCATTCCCCAACTTAGAGAAAGGAATCCATTTTATTTACCTTTATCAGAGCAGGCAATGTTCTCAGTACTTCACAGGTATTATCATTTCATTTAACCCTTAACAATCCTGGGAGGAAGGTACAGTATTGCTCCCCTACTATAAAGAGGAAACTGAGCCACAGAAGACAAAGGGGAGGTTGAACTGTGGTGTTTTTGCTATGATGATCTGAGAGTGCCTTGATTTCCTGGCATCATTGATGCCATCACTTTCTTCTGCTTTCCAGAGAGGCAAATTGATATCAGGATAATTCTTGCTTTGGTGTACTTTAAATGTCCTTGGGTAGAGGCAATGCCTGTGTTGTCTGGTATAAAGTCATCTCAAGGGCTGGGGCTGTGGCTCAGTGGTAGAGCACTCTCCTAGCATGTGTGAGGCACTGGGTTCCATCCTCAGCACCACATAAAAATAAAAAAAAACAAACTAAAAAATGTTTAAAAGAAAAAAGTCATCTCAAGCCTCACTTTATGAATTTCCACAAAGGAAGCCTAAAGAAATAAAATGAAATCACTCGTATCACTTCACAAAATGAATTTTTTATTGTGGTCATACATGGTTTCTCAGTGCCACAGAAAGTTCCAGGGTAGGGACAATTTTTGGATGGCTCTCTAAAGACACACGGTAAGTTCTCAGAACTGAGTTGTGCAGGCATGTGGTTAATAGAAAGAAAAAAAGGGCCAAGGGAAGAGAGGAAATCGAGGAAGGTGGCATGTACATACATGATTACTTTTAAACCCCCTGGGCTCTGATAACTCTTTTCCCAAGTAAGATCCCAACAAAATCCACCATAAACTGAAGTGATTGTACTGTCAAATACACAAGGAATACATTTACTCGATAAAGAAACCACAGGAAAAGTAGGTTGGGAAGGGTTCAGACTTATTCTCAGCGAGCGCATCTCTGGGAGTCTGGGTGTGTGTGCTAGCAGTTCAGGAACCACAGGTGCCAGGAGATGAATTCTAACCAGAGCACGAGACCCTCTCCCAGCCCTCGGGTCAGTGGGAGGCTGTGGGGGCCAGGGGGAAGCCGTGCCGTTCTCCACGTTCTCCACCATCATCTCATCTCCTGCTTGCTGGCCTGGAAGGGACTTGAGAGCTCTCCTTGCTCCGGCTGTGCAGTCCAGAAGCCAGAATTTCCTCTAGGAAGCTGACAAGAAGACTTGAGGTTACTTAAAGGAAAAGCAAAAGTATCCTCAAAAACAGAATATCTTGCTCAGGAC